TTCACTCATCTCTGTTTAAAATCGAAATAATAGTTGAACGCAACATGTTTTTTTTAATGTAGAATATTCATATTTTCATTACATGAAATATTTGAATGTTTGCACATTCCCGCCATTGTCTAGTTTTAAATTCATCGACGCCATCTATCGATGGAGATCGTAGGCTTATAGTTTTAGAATATCTGCCTTCCGAGTTTATCCTACTATTAAAATTATCCCACAAGGGTTAATATTAATACTATTTAAATCTTGATACCTCATTTTAAATTATTCATACAATACTTTACCAAAATTATAATTAAGGGATAATTTTTGAAAGTATAGAATGTTACAGTCATAAATCTATGTTTAAGTTTTAAAACAACACTTGCTTAGAATTATTACGTTAGTGAAGGTAATTGACAGAAGTTAGCTACATATTTTAGATTACAAATTGGATTATAGTGTTATATTTCGGGTAAAGTTTATTGGAAGTTATTTCGAAAGAAGCTAAAGAATAATTTGTGTGGGATTACTGTATTGTACTGATGGATCAGAGAGATTTTAGATCGTTAATAATTGAAATATGATGTCGGAATCACGGTTCTTTGATATTTTAATTCTTATCTTATATTATCGTGAAAAATACTTCGCTCTTATAGTTGAACACTCGAACACAACGTTCACTTCATGTTGGATCTTTGCGTACCACTTGAGCGATCGATCACAACGCCACCATGAATCATAGTGGCGAAATCAGTAAACTGGTTGAGTAATGTTTACAAGTATTGTGAACTAGTGTTAGTATAACGTTAGTGTGGTACGATTTAAGCGCGCAAATTGTTAAAGTGATTCGTACGTTTTGTGACGTACGTATAAAATAGATGGAACATAAGGACAAATATTCGCGATGTGACTGTCTACAAAAATAAGGAAAGATGATGAAGGAAGTAATTACAATTGCAAATAATCTGTCAGAGCTGATACGAAATATGCAGAAATGTTTGCAATGTACAATTTGGTAAGTTTTAAACCGGTACTAATGCGATTTTGTTCGAGAACGATGAATATTTAAAGTAATTTAATGTACATCATTGGATGAAGACAAATGACTCTTCTTTTTATTAGTTGTCACGTTACGATATAGGTTATGTTTAGTTCTGTTTACCACGGTGCTTATGAATGGATATGTAGTCACTTCAATGAACATTCTTGTTTTTTGTATGGAATTTGTATATTTAAGTTCAAAATTTAGTTAAATTTTCTGGATTTCCAAATTTTAATACATGTTATTACATTAATTCAGCTTATTACATTAATGTATTAATTAATACATATAACATAATTTTGGTAATTAATTATATAATTTATGTCTTTGTTGTATATACAAATCAGTTTCCATGACTGTACTTCTCATAATATGAAATGTGACTCATTTCCTGTAATAGGCATGATAAGATATGTTATACTTTTTCAAATGAATACTATGCGCACATATTTCAATGGTATTTTTCTCGTTTTATTTCATTAAATTAATTTAATTTTAGTATCTACTTTATATGCAGAAATT